CAGTCAATGAAGTCAGTCCTTATGACAACACGAGTACATGTGCATACCTCAAGAGATCAAAAGAGAATGATGATTCAAGCAGTGCCATGTCACTGTGTGAGAGAGCCATCACAGCTGGCTAACACACTAGTACGTATATACATATTTGCTTATAAACAACGTTGAGGTATGATGCACAAGTACCTTACTACCAACACTTGCTCCAGTACTAAGCATCTCATAATCATATTTGTTTTGTAGGCTAATTGACATTGTACAGATTTGCATACTTAATTTATTAGTATGTAAAAAACAGAAATATTAAGAAAAAAACACCCTTCCGGATTCTCAGCCAAACTTTCACTACAGCTCTACTTGTTTTCTAAAATGAACAAATTACATTTCATCAGCTTATGTCCAACAAGCAGCCCCCCTGTCTGGGCTTCTCCGAAGACCTACTTAATAGAATACCGCAGTATGTTAAAACGTAATGTAAATTTTTTTCAGTTAAGAACTCTACATCTATTCCTAACACTTCTTAGGACAAAAAACCTCTTCTTAAGATGTTTTTTATTCAAAATCCATGCAGTTTGTTTGGTCAAATAAGAAGCTGTAAGAATTGAAAAAAATAAAATGATTCTAAAAAGTATCGTGTGTTGCTTACGCCATAAAATAGTAGTTGGCCCTAAAGAGTCAATAGTTTGCACTTCTTTACGTTTCAATAAATAAAAAAGGCTACTTGGTAAAACTGTGAAAATTTAAAATTTACTAGAAAAGTAAGAATCGAAAAAGTTTTTTTCGATCTTACAACTTTTTAACCACAGCAACAAAGTCTTGGAGCTTACTTTTTCTTTCTTTTATTGCTACAATAAATACAAATACGTGTTATTGTACTTATTTAAAAAACTAGAGATTTAAGTAATTTCTGTCAGGGTTATAATGAAAATCGTGGAATTTGATAATGGATTATTTTTTTGTCAATTTTGATGCTGCTGTTTTAATCTCAGTAAAATTGTATACATTAAAAGCATTTTAAGTATTTCTTCCACTTCGCCGTCTTGCGACTATAGGCTTGGATGAAACTTTATGAGCCCTGAAGGCTGGTTTTTATTAACTTTGTTAAGTTATCTTATATTTGTTGGCAAGATAAATCGACTTTCTATAGCTTTCGAATAGGCCGATGAGTTTAACTCTCTCTTGACTGAAGTTTCCAGCAAACATGTCTGACTAGATACCTTAGTGTGATCTTTTCTAGATTGTTATTTTCACACTAGATTGATTAGGTGGAAAACTACATCTAAAATATTAGAGCTAGCTATAGAGCTCTTTCCCAACGTCTGCTAATATAATGCCAAGGATTTTGATGTCTTTAGCACCTTTATCGTTTGCAGAGCACAAGCGTTTTGATGATTTAAGATGAGAAAAATACTTTGTAATGCTTGCTCGTTAGAAACCGTCTCCTTTGCTCAAGTTTATTTTTTGCTCATAGATATTAGGTTCACCAAACACAGACTTTGGAAGGAATTTGTGACTTCTGGTTGAATGCGTAGAGCCAAGAAGGTTATATGATGTATGGTCGTCAGTCACAGGGATTCCCAGCCTTGCGGTGAACAACTTGGCTCGTAACGTCTGCCAGCCAATGACTGACTTGGTTTAATAGTGGCTAGCCTTATAAGGCTTTTTAGTTGACGAATTATTGCTGGAAATGGTAGTTAAAATGTATTTGCTGACGAGATAGTTTAACGATATATGGCTCAAAAAAAAAAACTCATGAGATTGATTTTTAGTTATGAAACGCAAATACTTATGATGGCACTGAAAAAGGCTAGTAGTGATGTTTCCAGCAATTTCTTATTGTTATACTTGATGATAGAGAGTCAGCTGTAGCTTGACACTCACTTCTTGGAGTCTCTACGTAAAAAGACCGTGCTGCTGTACCAGAATCTGCTGTGGTAATTTCAGTTTGGTTAAAATAGTGGCCATGAAATCCTAAATTTCTAGAGCAGATTGTGCTATTTCTAAACGACTCCTGGGATGTCACCAGAGATATTAACGTCCAGAACGCCTTTTATTAATGAAAAAATCCTAGGTCTATACTTGATGCACTACCGTTGTACAAGTATGGTATTCCGTAATTTATTCGGGGATATTATTACCAAACTTACCTAACTCTATTGCAGGTAGATTCGATTTTACTTCTTCATCACTTCTCGGATTCTATCGAACTAAAGTGAAAAATAAGTGTCTTTTTCAAATACTTTAAGCTCATATATTGCTTTCTCCTATTAATTTTTCCAAGACAGAAACTATACTTAAACCATGTAGAAGGCGTCAAGAATCAGTATGCCAAATTTTAGCCAGATCAATTGAATAGATTTTGTGGTTATCCATTACAGCGTTTTTTGCGACTTTGCTTTATATATTAGAAAAATAAACATTCATCTGTGTAATTAAACATTCAGTCTAGTTATCGTGCAACATCATGTAAGTTATTCTTCCACACAATTATATCAAGAGTGGTTTCGTAAATACGTCAGCCACTTAGTCTCGAGTGGAGATCCATTTTATTACTTATAACCATCGTTTAATATACCCTCTTTTATAATGTTCTGTCATGTCTGCCATGAGTTAAAATTCAACGCCTACTCTAGATTTTGCGCATACTTAAGCTGCACGATTGATACTCCAAACTGTCATTGCGAAAAAGAAATTATTCAGAGCAATCGACAGCAAATTCTTTAAGGACATCAGTTCTTGACAAGGTTCCCTTATTACAATGTATTCATCCTAACACGTGAAGAGTGAAACATTACTGTATTCGTGAATTCTTCAGTTCATGGAGTTCTCATACAGATGTATAACGTAGCCACTGCCCGTCACTAAATTTCGGAGTTGGTGAAACTTGCATCAGAGAAAGCTTCGAGTCCATCATATCTACCCTTGTACTTTAGTCCTCAAGTTTTTGTACCATAAAAATATTCTGGTTACTGCTGGCTATGATTACTTCATCTACATATAAAACTAATCTAAGAAATTTTTTATTACACCACCAGAAGAAAAGACAGGGCTTTGTCGGATCTTTCTGCAGTTCAATTTTAACTGCTACCTCTTAAAATCGTTTATACCAGCGTTTTTAACTGAGTTTAAGTTTCCAAAAACGATCAACAAAGCGTACAGTAGTGTAAGTTTCCAGCAAACCATAGGAGTTCTTATCTTTGGATTCCCTGGTAACACGTCAGGACTTGTACTTTTTCTGTCTATATCAGTCAACATTTATTTTTAATACTAATCTAGAGTCAATTAGGTTTAGCATTTTTCTACTAGAATCCCTCGTTGATTTATTTATAATTCTCTAAACGTTGTTTGATTTCATGGAAATCAATTCATTCTTAATAGCTTCAGTTCATTTTTCTCTTCAATGTTCATATCCTCTTTATAGTTAACTGGATTCTATAAAATTTCGGTCAACAGGGCATGATAAATTTAATTTTTACTATCACTATCTGGGTTATCATTTAAGTCTAGGTTCTTCTTTCCAAAACAAACTTGCCTGTTGCGCTCTGAATTCAGTTGTACACCACAAAAACTAGAATCACAGATCAGGAATCAACAGAAAAGTTTAATCTTGTCAAAAAAATTATCAGTCTTGTGTTGACAAGGTCTTTCCTTTTTTTTTTGGTCACTTCTCTCACGGTTTTTGGAAATTTCTTGTCGTTCTACAATTCAGAGAAAAAAATGTCACTGTTAGTATATACATGTACCTTGACTCGACATATACTGTATTAGTCTCTCCCCACTTTATGCACCACGCACCGTTGCATAGATTGCAGTGGCTGTGAAACTGGCTATTTGGTCTGTTGCCTGGATACAAAGAAAATATTAAATGTTATGGTTTCCCGTAAAGACAAAATTGATCATTTTTCTTTAATATTTTTTCAAAAATACGAGAGAAGTACTTCTGTCGAAAACGCAAGTTGATTTAATTTATTTGTTTAATAACTCATGTACAACTCATGTACAATTCATGAACTTTTTTTTTAAGTTCTTTCTTTTATCTCTGCTTCTATTGCTTGTAGAAAAATTTCATGGCCGTTACTATTACTGTCATTGAGTATTTTACGCAATAAAAACTCTTGAAAATCAGTTATTCATTGTTTATAATGCGCTTATGGCAACAAAGTGCGAAAAAATATTTCTCATACCAAGAAACTTTTGGTTGGCGTAGAAAGACTACCACATCAATTTGAATATAATTCTAAGAAAACATAGATATAATGTTGCATAGTAAAAAGCTGTTTGTAAAATTACAAAATAATTATTAGTTTTTCGTTAATTAATTTTTTTTAGTAAGACGTCCAACTCTGAACCAAATTTATGACTGTGCACGAACCTAATACATACCTGAATCGCTGAATCGTTTGGTCAATTCACTCTTAATAATGTGTTAATTTTTTTTTAATAAGTCTTTTTGTTAGTAATCATTATCTATTTTATACATACATTTTATCATAAATTTTGATATCCAACTTAATTAACTTAATATTTTATCATTTACATTATGACTGCACATAGCCAAAGTCTACCAAAAAGTGAATAGAACTTCTTTTTAATCGAAGTCCATAAACTCCTCATGGCTGATTTCTCTTTTGTTGCAAAAGTAATTTGTTGACCCCTCTAAGAATTTGGTGTGCAGTTAGTCTTATGGTATTATGTCATGCAACGAAAATTGAACGAATTCTACACCCCACTTCCTTATAAATTCTATTTTTATGAGACTTATCCAAAAGGTAACATGTTGAATTTCATTTTTTAACATTTAATGTGTGAATAACACAGTGTTATTAAATGGTATAAAATTTTTTAAGCGGCTATTTCACATTATTACGAACATTTTGTTAAAACTTTTGAAAGATCTGATAGAAAACGCTTTGTATCATAAAGGTCCTAATCTAATAATTACTTAAGCGAGTGAAAAAAGGATGTTAGTAATAAAAAAATGTTTAATTTATCATGTTTTGCAGAATTCTATTTTCAACTGGGTACGGGACCATAGAGTACATCATAAATATTCTGAAACAGATGCGGATCCTCATAATAGCAAAAGGGGCTTTTTCTTTTCTCATGTTGGCTGGCTCATGTTACGCAAACATCCTGAGGTACTAAAAAAGGGTCGTCAAATTGATATGACTGATATTCTCAACGACTCTGTGGTTCAGTTTGGTGAAAAGTAAGTTGCATTTATAACATATTTGTAAAAACAACAAGTTAAAGTACAACGTAGCATGAAATATACATAAGTATACTGGCACCTTGTTCGTGTAAGTTATTAATGATAACACATTTTCTAGAGATACTCTATCAAACTATTAAACTAATTTTAAATAAAGTTACTATTCAACAATCAATAAGTCATAAAATTTCATATTTTTTTTTTCATCTGTGCAATATTGGTTGTGGCTTACCTCAGAGAAAAATGGTAACAGTAGCTATTAAATTCACAGTAAGTTTGTCTTTGCTACATTTTCTACTTTAATTCTCATTGACATGCGTCCCTTCTTGATGTGACCTCAATCTTATACAATATTGTGACATGAAAAATCTAACACCCCACTTTGCTTTACCATCAAACTACTTAGTAAATAATAGTTAATCAAATTGAATACATTCTTTCTTGTAAGCTTACGTGTACGACTTATGGTACATTGTAAGCTTATACAACTTAAATTGTTATTATTATTACGATTTTTTTTTATATAAGTCTTGTAAATGTATATGTGAGACTATAAGCTCATTCTTCTTGTAACTCGTAACAAGGTCTTTTAAGACCAGTAGAAGGGAAGAGGCTTTCGAAGAGTACATGACGACCCTAAAAGAAAATACAAGCGTGACTTTGCCTTATAAGAGAGATATCTTAAATAAAGGTCTCTCAAGTAATAAGTGTTAATTATTTTCACATCGTACCAATCTTTCTCACACGTAACAGTTGGTGCTACGTGTGAAGTGAGGTAAGAGTCGAAACTGTTTTGTCGTGTTTTTCTTGTTTTGAAAAATCAAAACTCCACTGACAACCACACATAAGGCAGTGCCATGAGAAGATGACGATTAAGAATCGAAAGGCCAAGGATCTGATGAAAAGACGACAGTGCTGGTCGTAGTGTACCAGCAGTGGTGAGAACAGCTCAAAAGCTAACTGGACCAGGGTACAAAGTACAAGATAGTTCATTATTAAGATGGACAAATGGCAAGCGCTGAAAAGAAATGGTGTCAAACATTGTACTCCTGCTGATGTGCATATTAGCTAGCACGTAAGTACCCATGTTGTAAAATAATTTTTACACTTTACTCTCAAGGTAATAAAGGAGAGACCCTTAGTTTGTGAAAATAAAGTTGATAGAATTTCTTATTTATTTATTTTTTTGTGATTTTCCTTTTTTTTAAGGATTTTACTTGAAAACCAAAACAAAAATTGTGTGAGTAAAACACACTTACATATGCATTTATTCAGAAAGAATTTTTTTTTTCTGGAGATCACTCAAGTGATAAAAAAATTTGAAAGCCGATAAAAAAATTAGTAAGTCACAACGCAAGATTTAATTAAGTTGGATAAAAATAGGAAGCTGCCAAAATGTGAGGAGAAAAAGAACAGGATTTCTATAAACAGAATATTATAAATCAGGGTGGTCACAACAAGCAAGTAAACTGTTTACCCTCTATTCTCTCGTAGGTAATACCACTAGGTGAAACAGACAAAATATCAGGACAAAGGCTTAACATCTAGCTTAGCAGATGCTCATTAAGGGACTGGATGCGTTATGTCTCCAAGTGAAATTATTCTACGTGTCCATACTTAACAGAATCGGAGAGTTTTTAAATAAAAGCTGGATGTATCGTGCAAGCACAATAGTTACATTAAAAAATTCATACTACAGGCATAGCAGACATTCGAAATGGCCGGGAGAAAATGAAGAAAAATTAGGCTAAGATACGAGATATATTTACAAGAAAAGAACTCAAAGGTAGCAAATGCTAAAATGAGAGGCTGAACCAAGTGAATGCGCCAAATTGGATACGTTACGTAAAAAGACTAAAGCAATTAAATAAAAAAAGAAACAGCATAAAAAAAAGAAACAGACAATCCACCAAGCAAAATATCGACAATTTCAGAAGACCACAACTCTAAAAAACAAAGATAAGAAGAAGGTAGGAAGAAATAGAAAATAAAGGTATGACGTGACAGAAAAAACAAGGCGAAATTAGTGAACGGCGGAAATATCGGCAGCTTAGGCGAATCGAATGGGTTCTCAACGAATACCAGATAATGCAGACAGTTTTGGGTGGCCTTCTTTACACGCTTTACATGAAGAATAAAGAGGCATCAGGAGCACAGCTGTGAAGAATGATAAAAGATGTCACTTTGAGGGTAAAATTAAAGAAATAATCGAAGAACTAAAGTAGATAAGAAAGTCAGCATTTGAGGCAGTGGCTGGTACCATGTTTGGAGTTTATTTTACTTAAACTGAACCGATACCACACAAGCAAGGGCATGAGGACGAAAGATTTTTAAACTCACGGATAAAAACACAAGAACTTAGAACTATAAACAACTTTCATACGTTACAGAGATATAGCCTAACTAAAGATAATTAACCAACAAAATGAGAAATTAGTAGAGAACTACAAAGGAGGGGCTTACCATCTGTACAATAGACTGACAATGCTGCACGACTTCAACTCAAGCCTTCTGCCAGTTAAAAAACAAGTTCTTAAACAAGCGTAAAAGCGGAAACGCTTTATCAATTCACGTATATCCTGTACCGAACATGAGTATCCTGTATCCAGGTGCCAAATTACAAGTTTAAGCCCAAGGACCCTTTGTGACGCAATAATAAAAGCACTGAAAACTGAAAGCAACCTTAGTTTACGGCTTGCAATACCAGTAAGTATAAATACCCTCACTATATATCATAACACAATGACCAAATGGAGAGTACAAGTAAACCTGACAAAGAAAAAAGAAACATGACAGAAGTCACTAGGGAGATACAAGGAGCAGTAGTAGAAAATTGAATTTGCTGTGTATACTGCAACAGCTGAAGAGGTTATTCGGTTGAAAAATGTTGAAAACTACAACTGTCAATAAACGATAAAAAAACATTAAGAGACAACGGAAGAGAATTAAAAAAAAACCTTAATTATTGTCAAAGATCAGAACACAACGTGCTGGGCAGATATCGTAAGCACACTTTCTCTTTTTTTACGTCGTAAAATCGATGAGCACTGCCTCGGATTCCAAAGTAGAAAAAATTAACACTCCATGGAACAAACTGTATTTTTTCACTTACTCTTTTTCAAGAGAAAATTGTGCTGAATAAGAAGGGTAAGTAAAGAGTTTCATAGTTCCCGTTGCAAAATCGTTTTTTTTATAGAAAATAGGATAAGTATATCATATTTATGTAAAAAACAGTTCTTTCACGGTCCAATGCTTAAATTATTATTAATTTTAGAAGAAAATTAGTTTCCCTTGATTTTCTCAGTTCATCTCTCATGTCACTTATACTTTTTTTTCGTGGGATGGCAGAGAAGTGATGATTATTACTTTAACTACCGTGGTGACTTGCATAATAAGAACAGCAGGGGTACATAGAACCACTATAAAAATGACGAAAAATCCAGATAGCAGGAACAGCTATAATCAGGATCTTATTAAGCATGGGCTGCTACAGCATAGAGGTCAACCACAATGGCAAAACGATGTATACGGATCTGTCAACAGAAGATATGCATCCATGGCGTTAAACTCGTAGGATATTTGGCATGGTCTCTAAGCATCGAATATGAATTGGAGAGAGAGAGAGAGAGAGAGAGAGAGAGAGAGAGACACAAAGAAGCGTGTTTTGTAAGGAAGAATGAGCGAGAAAGGATCCACAGATGACGGGGAAAGAAACAGTAAAAGTAGAAATGAACCACATTAATCTGAGTACGTACGCATTGCAGTTCAGAATAAAACGTATAACAAAAAAGAATATAGACACTTCTACACAGCATAAAAACTCATAACAGTTAAATAATGGAAGCACGACTTTTTACGCAGATACAAAAACATGGATTTTGGTTGTAAAGGAAAATTTTCTTACCACTGACATACTTATGGATATTAGGTTTTGAGTAGCTATTTTTCGCATGACTCATGGAGTGCACAAAACATTATACATAGTGCTAGCTTAACTAAATAGTTTAAAGTACCCTTTACGTGTTGTCCTCCATGACTTCGCAATGGATGTGAAAAAAATCATGTGAAGGGAAATATTGAAGCGATACCAGAGACAGAGAAGCGCTGCTAACGGTGCGATTACATAAGATGATTTAGAAATATCGTTGAAGAAGCAAGAGTGTTTTATAATACCTTAAAAATCTAAAAAAATATTTCACGCCCGATTAAAAAAAGTATAATGAATTAAAAAAATGGGTAAATATTCTTTCAAGAGATGAAAGAAAAAATATTATTTGGAAACTTTGTAGCTAGAAATAATAAGTGATCGCATAACATGTATTCCTGTTCTAGAAGTGGAGCTGCTAAAATACAAAGAAATTTATCAAAATACTTAGAGAAGGTTAAAGAGGACAAAGTCAAAAGCTTAGGGAAGACAGAGCTAAGGCTTCTTAAGAAGAAATAAATGATGACAAAAAAACCTACAAGGTTTCATAATAGATGGAGAGATGCTAGGAAAACAAAAATGGGTAGATGAGATTTTGCAAATCCTAGATTCAGCTGAATGTAACCATAAAGAAAAATAGCACGTTAGAAGATTGATTGAATCAAATTTATGTGTATTCAGCCTTGACGGGAGATCCCTTAGCGTCACACACCTGTTCAAACGTTGACGGATAATAATGTCAGATAGACTTATTATGATAAATAAATACTGATATCTACTGATATCAACGTAATAAATAGAAATCGGAATAAAGAAGATGCTCGAAGTAAGGATGATTAAAATTTTCACGTCACCATGTAGCTCAATCATATGGATAGTAGTAAAAGAGGTTGAAAATAGTAATAGATTTTGTACAGAGTATACAGTAACTGCTACACGAAGTTACTACAATGAATTCATGTTATCTGATGACATTTTAGAGTGACATCTGAAATAACTTAGTGGTGGCACATGATATCACAGTGATAAACCTCAAAACAAACTTCTTTTAAGCTCGAGATACACGAAAATA